TGTAAGTACGAGCCGGTTACCCAAAATTTGAGATGGAAATGAAGCGCCGAATTGACAAAACCCAACAAATTCGCGAATTCGCCAAATTGAGTCGATATCCCACCAATGAAAGTGATATCCCACTGATAAATCCCACTGATTAAACCCAAATTGAACCAATCTCGCTGGCCCCGAAGAAGACGAAGGCAGCGATGGCTGCCGCGCCCCCGCGGCGGCGCACCCCCCCCCCCCCCCCACACGCTAGGCGCCTGTGGGAGCCAAGCGCCTACTTGAGCCAAGCGCCTTGAGCCAAGCCTTGAGCCAAGAGGAGGGGGAGGAGGGGGGGGAGGAGGAGGAGGAAGAGCAGGAGGAGGAGGAGGAGGAGGAGGGCGAGGAGGACAAGGAGGAGGAGGACGAGGACGAGGAGGAGGAGGAGGACGAGGAGGAGGAGGGGGAAGAAGAGGAACAGCGGCGCGTCCGCTTTGCCCCTTAAATTCTGATTCTGGGAATGACCGTTTTGCAGGTTATCCAAAAGGAGGACGAAAAGGAAGAGGAGGAGGCAGAAAAAAAGAGGAGGAGGAGGAGGAGGAGGAGCGGTGCGACCGCTTTGCCCCTTCAGCTTCTTGGTTCCCTTCAGTTTTGCCGCTGCCATTGTCATCTCAGGGGCTGCAGCGAAGCCTTGCGCGGGCCCAGTACGAGCGCGACAAGAGGCTCACGAGGCCATCGGAGGTTGCCATCCAGGGATTCGAACGCATTTGCCCTCCCTCCTCCTTCTCCTTAACCTCCCCTCCCCCGTTGGAGCGCAACGTTCTGGGCGTGATTAAAAACGAAAGTTCTGAAGCGGCCAAACCGCTGCACTGTGCAACTTGCAATGTAAAAGCGGTCTGCCGCTGCGGAAAGTCAGGAGAGAAAGGAAGAGAAGCAAGCTGGTTTGTGATTTTTCTTAGAATTTGCAATTTTTTCATTTTCACTATTTGTTTCACTATTTTTCATAATTTTTCAATATTTTTACTATTCTTACTATTTAACACTATTGTTTTCACTATTTTTCACTATTCTTTACTATTTTTCTTATTTTTAATGCATGTTGATAGGATCCTATAGTGCACAATAGCTATATTTAGTGTTTTATAGTATCCGCACCCATCAAAGTAGGAGGACGGGGGGGGGGTCCGGTGGCGTGGGTTCTGGCGGCGTGATGGGTGGGGGGTCTGGTCCCCCGTCCCGCCTGTGGACGGGGGAAATTTGGGTGAAAATGGGGGGGGGGGGGTCCAGTGGCGTGGGTTCCGATGGCGTTGGGAGGGAAGGAAGGGTTCCGTGGCGGTCCGTGGCGTGTGAATTTGAAGGAGCCTCAGCTACAGCCTCGATGCTGGGCTTCAGCCTCTGGGGGGGGTCCCGGGGTGCCAGGGTGGCTCTGCCGGGGAAGGAGGGGAGGGGGGGGTGCGCGCGTGCGTGGGGTAATGGTTCTCCGTGTACGCGAGAAGGGAATCGGGGAAAGAGGGAGAGAAAAGTAGAACGGGACAAGAGCGGAAAACAAGGAGCAAATAGGGGGAAGACGAGGGTGGCGGTGAAATGCGTGTCTGTTGTGTGTGTGTGTGTGTTTGTGACGCGTGCGTGGTGTGTGTGTGTATGTGTGTGTGTGTGTTGCCGGCGGCGTGTGCGTGTGTATGTGCCTGCGGGGGTGGGGCGCGTGTGTGAGTGTGGTGTGTGTGTGTGTCTGTGGGTGTTTGAAGTGTGTGTGTGTGTGTATGTGTGTGTGTGTGTGTTGTGTGTGTGTGCGCGTGTGTGTGTGTGCGCGTGTGCGCGTAATGTCTGCGAGCGCGTGCGAGCGTGTCTGTCGGCGAAGTGTCGCCGCCCACTCTTGGGGGCACCCCAAGCGACCCAGATCGGCAGCACTGGCCTAAGGCCACTAAAATCAGCGAGTCTTCGCATCGAAATCCTGGTCAGAACGCACCCCGCGAGAATTCTGGGGAGTAGCGGTATCGGTACCTTTTAATTTCCCCAATGCTGCTGCCGGGACTTTTCGGGCTGAGGGTTCGGATGGACTCAGGAAGGCGCGAGAGGCACAATATACAAACCAAGATGGCCGCACGAGAGTGCTCAGAGGGCCCGAGAAACCCTAGAGACGGCACAAAATCGTTCCAGGGATCTCCGAAAGGGCTCCAAAGGAGCTCCAAAACGGCTCCAAACGATAACACCTCCACATGGGAGGGTTAGGAACGATTTAGAACCCATCTGGGAAACTATGTCTCGGTCCGCTTCCGCGAACAATAAACGCCCGTACAGACCCCAACCAGACCGCCCGTTGATGACCGACTGTATGCGTTAACGAACGCATCCCCAAGGCAGAAACTGTCGGAAGAGCACGGGTGAATTCGCCGCCTGGGCCATTCCCCAAGACTTGACGGCCGATGGAGGATGGTGTATTTTTGAATCACAAACAGGCGGAACGCCAACACACACACTTCGTTTATCAAATGTTAGGTGTGGCTCCCTCGCTTCTGATCAGGGTCAATACATACGTGTATCAAACACTCTGCCCTCTCAAAAAAGATGTTTGGGGTAGCTCTGCTTGCACCAGCCTTGCCGTCGGCGCTTGGAGCGGGCAATTTCCCCCTATTGAAGGTCTCAAAATGAGCACCAACACCAACACAGGGGGGTGCCTGCACCAGGGGAAGATGATCCTGGACTTTCATGCTGGTGGTACTTTTTCGGCCACCCGGAAAGCCCGAATATTGCCACCATCACCGGGATCGGGATCATCTTTCCTCGGTGGAGGCACGCCGCCGATATTGATGTTGGTGTCAACCTCTTGGCCTCCGACCCGTAGGGTCTGAGGCCTAGACGTTGAAGTCTAGGGCCTAGGCTTCAGCAAGCCGCCCTGGGGCTCTTGGGCACGCTCGGGCCCTAGCCCTGGGCAGCCCTGGCTGCATCGCGGAGCTTGGATCAGAGAACGCAGCCCCTTTAGGAGGCAACTCCTGGGAGGTCCACGTGCGAACAGTTAAGGGATTCTTGTCGATTGCAACTCATGGGGGCCTTCCATACCAGCTTGTTGTTTCTTGCGAATCGACGCTGATCGACGCGAGCTGGACGCCATACGTGCTAAATCAGTGCTATACCTTCGATTACCAAATGCTTATCTACGCTAGTCGGCGCTAGCCGACGGAATTAAGAGCGTATACAAGGCTCCCAGGACTTGCGACAGAAATGTTCAGCACAATAGGAAGCCATAAAATCGGATCAGATCGGTTAGAGCCCGGAGTGAAACCCTATTCGACTGGATCAGGCGATATTGCGCCAGATTACGCGGGATTCGGCATGGTGAGATCAGCTTTCGACAAAGGATATACCAGCGCCTATGCTGATTTGAACATCCCATAACAGGGAGTATGTCGACCTCTATCCCAGACTTCGTGGGGTTTTTGAACAGACCATACATGGGGAGCCCGATTCGGGGATATACGACAGATCCTCGACAGGGGTGCGTCCGAATGGCCCGCCTGAGAGTGCACCCCCGAGTTTGTTTGCCTTTCCGAGCGGCTTGAGCTTCCATGGGGAAGTCGAGGCTTGGGGGCGAGAGATCGCTTGCGATCCCAGGAGCTGCAAGCGAGACCCCCTCCGAGCAAGGAGGCGGCCTGACAAACAGAGCGACGAGGCAGCCCTGGAGCCTCGAGGCTGGGGGGGGCGCGCTCTCGGGATGCGGCTGGCGAGCAGTGCGCTGGTGGCTGGGCGTTGCTCAAGGAGCGGGGGGCGACAGGTTCGACTATGAGATCGAAGAAAGAATTCACGTACCCCAACATCGTTGTTTCGGCAAATCTCCATCGAATGTTCCGTAGACCTTCGGGGCAATATACGTAATAGTTTCCGTAGATCCGACGAACATGTCAACTTCGGGGTACGCAAATCGAATATGTAGTCGATCTCCTACTCGATGAATGAGGTGGGAGAAGCAATGTGCACCTCTGGCGCCCTTTTTGGCCCCAGGGGACCTCTTTAGGGTCCCTCGGGTGCACGAAGTGTGTCAATTTCTCCTCCACCCCTCCTGCCATCGCTCGGACGTCCATTCTCCGTGCACTTGTCGGTTTCACGCGCTCATTTTTCGCACGACGATCCAGGAGCTCGCCGAGAAAAAATCCACACGTCCGAGCGATGCCAAGCCAATGTGTATCGCCTCCCCATGACGCGACGCCCCAGAGGGGGCGAAGTAGCAACCTCCCCCATGTATGCGACACCACCGGTCCAAGTAACGGGGGATATGTCGACCGCTATCCCAGGCTTCGTGGGTCTCTTCGCCCAGCCCTGGGATATACAATGGGGGGGCGTCCATTCTCGATAGGGGTGCGTCCGAAGAGCCCCCTGTGGGTGTAGCCCAGGGTTTCCATCCTTTGCTGAGCGGCTTCACTTTCGACGAAAAACCAAGGGTTGGGGTAGAAACATCGCCTGCGAACAGAGACAAAGTGCGGATCGATGGAGCTGGCAGCGCCTGGACCAGCGCTGCTTCACATGCGGTCGGGAACTTGTGCTCGGCGTGTCGCAACGGCGGTCCTGGCGGCACGCTGAACCCTGCGAGTTGACAGCGTGTCGCTCTGCTTCGCGGCGCGAGGGACTGGGCAAGGTTCGGCCATTGACGCCCGGGGACCCGGACGCGGATAGCGCGTCGCGCCGGGGCGTGGTGGGCCAGGACCGGCGGGGGGACACGCTAAGCAAGCGATTCTGTCCGTACCTTCGTCGCCTGCACCCGACGCGCCATCACAATCACCCCCAGACAGGTCACCTGCGCAAAGGCTGGCGGTCAAGGTAGACTCTGGAATGGCCCGTTACAATGAGGAAGTGGGGGCCAAGACGGCCTCTGTGGGCCCAGAGCAACAAACAAGGGCCTCAAGGCCCCGGTCGCCGTGGAGGCCTACCTACATCACTGGGATGCGCTGAGCACCAATGCTGACAAAGTGCCAACTCCAACCTGCGATGGTACGGCTATCTAGAGGTCGAAGGGTATGCTGCGGAATGCGCCACAGCGGCGC